ACACACAATAATTCACCTTCAATGGCGACCATTCCATTGTATGTAACTTCAGTTCCCCAGTAGGGGATTCCAGAAATTGGGAGACTACCTCCACCAAGGCTTAGGAGCCCGCCTTATCAGTGATGTTTGTAGCATTGAGCAGACTTCCGCATGCCAGATAGCCGCTCCAGTCAAGGGCAAATGGTTCTACTCTACACCCTCTGCTACTAACAACAAAACAAAACAAAAAAGCACAGCATGCTGCTCCATTTGGGAGTGCTGCTCTGACCCACTCATGTAGGGATTTGTAGACAGCAGTTTTAAATGAACACCAGAAAGGATGTTCAGCAGCAGGTTGCTGGTCATGCAGCACAACAATGTTAATACAGGGCATCCTTGATAGAGAAAGATGCTGTCTCTTGAAGGACCCTGACAATAGGACAGCACAGATTCTGAGAGGGCAAAAGCAAGGCTTATGCTTGCCTTTAAAAATATAAAATTACTTCTTTATTTGAAAGGCAAAATTACAAAAAGAGAGGAAAAAACAGAAAGGTCTCCCATCCAGTGGTCCACTCTCCAAACTACCCCCAACAGCTGAGGCTGGGCCAGGCTGAGGGCTAAGAACCTGGAATTCCATTCAAGTCTCCATGTGGATGGCAAGGAGTCCAAGTTCTCATTGCCATATTCTGCTTTCCAATGCACAGTAGTAGGGAGCTGGATTGGAAGCAAAGCAAGCACAACTCAAATTTGGATGCCAATATTGAAGGTGATATCTTAACCTATTGTACCACAGTGCTGGCCCAGACAATTCACGATTTCAAAAAGAGCTGAGCATCCACTGTGAGATCAAGTGCCCATTCAGTCACAGCTGCCCATCATTCTGCACATAACATCTGAAACACTGATCCGAACACTGATCTGAAACACTTGTGCTGCAGGGCACAAGTGAAAACAGGTAAGCTTGCCAAGCGCAAGACAACCAGCATAGGGATAAAACTCAACAGAGGGTGGGCATAGGGCTCAGCATGCAGTACAAGCAATGACCTGGTGGCCATGAACATGGTGTTGGCCATAGGAGTTAGATTTGTGTGAGTGTGAGAACCACAAGAAGGAATCAGAATTGCTCTTTCTCCAACACAGTGGCTCACACATGGGATGCCGCTTCCCCTCTCTCTCTCTCTCTGATAATCCAGGTTCTCCTGGATGAGAATTTGATTCCCAGGTGAGACCACTTTCACAAGGAAAGACCAGTAATAAACAAATATGACTATCTGCTGGTCCTCTGGGGATTCTTCTTCCCCATTTGCTGGCTCACATCTCAAATGACCTCAATGGCCAGAGCTAGGGTAATCCAAAGCTGGGAGACAAGAGCTTTTTCCGGGTCGCCCACATGGATACAGGGGCCCAAAGACTTGTATCATCCTCTGCTGTTTTCCCAGGCCATTAGCATAGAGCTGGATTGGAAATGGAACATCTGGAACTCGATCTGACACCCATATAGAATGCCACTGTTGCAGGTATATTAACCTGCTATACTACAATGCCAGATCCCATCTCTCCTCACCAGAGATTCTTACACCTGGAAAATAAACACCTTCATCCATCAAAGTAACCCTGATTTTAAGAATCTAGGGTGCTATTGTACCATGACAGGGGTGAAGGATAGGTCTACTTCTGAATTTTCAGTTAGAATGCCCATGTATGATTATTATATCAAAGGCCTGATAATGGTAGAATAACTAAGATTTTGATCTTTGAAAATTAAGGTCTTGGAGGAGGGCCTTTCCACCCCCAGCCGGGAATTTGGGCTTCCTCCATACCCCCGATCCTCTCGGGCGGGTTGGAGGGGTGGCGGGAGGAGCGCTCTTGGTGGAAGCCGGCCCCCCCCCCCGCCCCCAGCGTGTGTCCCTTTCCCGGAAAGAAAGGAGCGCTGGTTCTACCAGGGGAAGCTGGGCTCAACGTTGAGGGATGACCTGCCTCTGCTGGCCCCACAGCTCTTTCCCACCCGGTCTGCTTGCTAATTAGCCCAACACTAATCCATCAAGATGATGCTCAGGTGGATGAAGAGGGAGGGAGCACCTCATTGGGAACAAGAGGTGGATGAAGAGGACGTGTCTTCCCTGCTGCTGCCGCCGAAAGGACCCACCCTGCCCACAATGGTACGCGCCCCATCACTCCCAACACACCCAACAGCACCCACAGTTCTGCTTCCTGAATGCCCCTAATTATGTTGCCTTGCTGCTGTGATGCGATGCTGGAAGCCTGACCTTCCTGCCACCATCTACTTCCATTATGTGCCCTGGTCATAAAGTTTTCTTTTGAGCCAAAAAAAAAAAAAAAACAAGAAAAAGAAAGAAAGAAAATTAAGGTCTTGGTAACTAGCAGGATTTGCAAGTGAAAATCAATATACTCATATAAATGAGCCCTTTAGAGCATGCTGTTCATCTATAGCACTGGATTTTATTATGTCTTTGTCACCCTCAGTTTTAAGAATGAGCTACGCAGCATGGGCTAGCTGCATTTTATTGGGCAGGATTATTTCATTTTCACCTTCATGAGCCTATGTATAAATGGGCATTACTGTCTCCTTACTACATATGAGGAAGCAGAAACCCAGTGTCGATGCAGCAAGCAGGCGATAGCCCAAGTGCTTGGATACCTGCCATTCATGCAGGAGATCCAGTTTGAGTACCTGAAGCCACTGAAGGCATTTGGGGAGTAAAGTGAATGGAAGCAGTCTCTTCCTTCTTTCCAAAGAGATTAAGAAGCCTCCTAATTCAATTACTAAATCTGACCAATGCTTCTAGCCCAAATTTACCTGCCAAAACCTGTGCTGTTAACCATTATACCTCTGTTCCCACCTCTACATTTCCTACCTGTCCACATCTAACATATCTTGCCTTTCAATGCTCCTGTTTGTCCTGCCAGCTTTGTCTTCAGTATAGACCAAATGCCAACATTCCAAGTTCCTCAGACAGAATGATTTCCTTATCAGCTTGCCCACTGTATTAACTCTTTGCTGAAACCCTTACACTTTTATTACTGTCTTGCTGCATTTACTGTTGGGCCTGGAGATCAGACCAGGACTTCGGTATTTAAAAAAAGACACAAAATAAGCAAACAATTGTTTTTAATGATTTATTCATCTTCATTAAAAGGCAGATCAGATCCATAAAAGACAGAAAAGATCCTCCATCCAGTGGCCACAATGGCCAAACTGAGCTGATCTGAAGCCAGGGGAGTCTTCCAGGTCTCCCACAGAGGGTCCAAGGCTTTGTGCCATCCTCTGCTGCCTTCCAAGGTCATAAGCAGAGAGCTAGATGGGAAGTGAAGCAGCCAGGACAGGAACCAGTGCACATAGGACATCCTGGAGCTTGCAAGGTGAGGACCTAGCCATTGAGCCATATTGTGCTGGGCCCAGCAAATAATTTTTCAATAAATAGTGTCAGAGGATGAGCTCCTTAAGCATGACCACCAAGTTAATTTCCACTGTATTTTCAGGCTATAACACAATACCTAGGTCTTGGCTTACACTCACATGCTCAATGGCTGCACATTAATCTCTTTCTTCATTGGATTGTGAATCCTTGGAAAACAAGGATTGTACTTAGTCCTGCAGCTCTTCACAACCATCTTGAGTGCAGTGACTCCCAGGGGGTACTTTTGCTTCTCTGTTCTTAGGGTGTTAGTAAGTCTTATCATTCAACTAATGAATAGTAAAATGTGTAGACATGCAGGACAGGCAACAACGCACAGGCTGGCAGTCAGCACTTTTGGCTATGGCCTGCCGAAAGTAGTGGTTTTACCCACAAGGCCTTGAGCCACCTCTCTGCTACCCCTGCTGTGGATGTCTGCCCTTCCCCATGCTGTTCTTGTTCACACTTTTCTGCTAAGTGATACTGTAGCTGCTAGCTAGTGCTCTTCTTCACTGCCTAGAATATTCTAGCATTGTAGGAGTTGGAGAGTGATGGAAAGAATCCCACAACAGTGTAATAACCTGAATCTTGTGCGTCCAGGGTGCCTCATGTCTGCATCCTTCTGCATCATGCTTATGTCTTAGGACACTGGGTCTCAGTATGTCCCAGTGTATTTATTTTCATGAAGTACGTATACATCGGTAAAGATGCTATGGGCCTATAACTATCATGGAGACTTCCAGCACAAATGGTCAGAAAAAAAAAATGATACAAACCAGCTTCTTATCTTCTAGCATTTTCTCATAACTAAATACAGCATGTTTTGGTGAGCTCTTGCACACAGAACTGGCTTGCAAAACATCACCAAATGTTAGGATTCCTCCCAGCAAGATCCTGCTTCCAAGATCAGTCACTTAAAAAAATTATTCCCATTTTTTTTTTGTTTGTTTCCGCATGTTTTGCTTGTGAATTATTTCCATGTTATACTCAGATTAGGAATTTAAAGAAATTACAATTATAATCCTCTCAACAACTTCATTAACTGCTAACTGCCCTATTAAAATACTACCTAATTATAAATTAGCTGTAGATATCAGGTACCTCTGATGAACCGACAATATTTTTTACAGAGATCATTCTGTGAGGTACCTCATCTTTCATACAGGATGATCACATAAATGAATAAACTTACAAAAATAAGAAATATAGGATGTTTTTACTTCAGTATTTTTCCATATTTTATATGAATAAGAGGTTCCCTCATTTCATCAGACTAGCATACTTGTTTTAATTCTTAAGTGTTAGTGAACAGTATATGAAAATATACATGGAATTACTTGTGAAGAATGCACTTAAATTTATTTAAAATATGTACTTGTAAGACATTACCTGACAAGTTGGTTATTATCCCTACTGTCTAATCTAGTAGTAAGAACAGTAATCGTAAGATCCTACAAGTATTTTTTTAGATTTTCAAAACTAAATGAGAAAACTGTAATTATTTTAGTATTTTTTTACTTGAAACATCTTTTTTTTTAAAAATTTTATGGTACAATTCCATAGGGTCTGGAATGCAACACAATAAAAACTCTGAAACTGGCAAACTAATGATTAATATAGGATTTATTTCAGAAAGAATACATATAGTCATCATTGCTGGATTTAGTATGAGATGCTAAATGTTCGATCCAATTTTCCCTCCTGGATAAGTTTTTCTTTCTTATCCTGTATAACATATTAAACAAAAACAAAAAAGGACATTAAGAAACAATGCATTCTGGCACAATCCATTGTACAATTATAAAAACAGAATAAACCACTCCCAAGGTGAACTGCAAATCCATTGCCCAGGGAAATGTCAGCAAGGAAGTGAGAAAGTGCTCCTATTCAAAACCATCACCCCCACCTCTTAGTGATTTTATCTGTGAGGCAATTAACTTAGCAGCTCATCAAAACACCTGAGCTCTAACAGGATCGCTGAAAGGACAGGGGAAAGGGATGAAGGCCTGGGGCTGCAGCCGGGTGTCTAGCACCAGGAAGCGACCTGCTGTCAAACCACCTGCACGGCTTTTGATCATCCTACATCAGGCTTCTGACAGCACTGATCCCTTCTCAGGCTGCCTCTGCTTCTCTTTGGGCAAGGATGTGACCCACTTAGCCAGAATTCCCACACAGGAGGAACACATTCAGTGATTTACATATTCTATTGGTAGCTGATCCATTAAACCAAGTATAATTTTGTTTCAAAACAAAGGAACTAAGAAAACAAACTTAAAAGTGCACAAAGATAACATCTAAAGGTTAATCAGAATTTTAAAAGGCTTATTTTCTGCCCATTTAACGAGCAAAAAATTAACTTTTTCAAGTTGTTTTGGTAGTCCCTTGCTTAATAATCCCAGGATAATTTCCTTATACTACCTAAAACATATACCAGGGGAATTCATGAGCTTAAGTTTAAGTCTTAAACTGATCACTTAATTACTTTAAATTCAAAAGCAGTCGTTACATGAAACTGGTCAGACCAGAGGCTACCAGGAGTTTTTAACAAAGTATGTTTTCATATCAGTTGATACCATAAAGCAGTAAAAACCGAGCTTAAAACTGAAACTTCTATTTTTAACTCTGGTCGCAAAAAAATAAAGAGAAGGGTCGGAGGGGCACATAGGTAATTTATGCTCACAAAACACTAAACGAGCACCTTCCCCAGAGGACCTGTCACCTGAACAGGAGACAACTAGTCCCAACACTCACCCTGTCGGTCTTGAAAACATAGTACCAGAAATATAGGGGCCCAATTCCAAACAGAGCTCCTAAGAGTGAGTTCTTGGGAGTGGGCCTGAAATTTGGATAGATGTTCGCTGATCTCGCGTATGTCCAACGAGTTAAGGCAGGATCTTCCTGAAATTAACAGAAAGTTACAGAATTTAAGAGCCACATTGAGGAACACATTCACAAGGACTTTTGTGAAGGAGCACAGGGGGCGCCTTCTGCTCTCTTAGGTATTTAGGGTAAATCTTAAACGCTCCTAAACAGCATCAGGATGGTTCTAGCATGTCTAGTATTTTCTGAGAAACAGAGGCATCTGCTCAAATCCTATCTAGAAGTTTAAGACTTTTATGTCACCCTTCAGCTTTCTGTTTATCTATGAATTTTTCTACCATAGGCACTACTTTTTCTCCTTTATCATTTTACCCACCCTTCTCTGGCTGCTTTCTGGCTCACTGATTTTCATGAAGTCTGTCCACCAGAACCACCCAGCACTCCTGATGAAGACAAGCAGATCTTGATTGTTCCACCAAGCTTTGTATTTTGTTTCCAGAAACCTTTTCTAACAATTTCCTAACTGGTTCTTAATGCCTACATATGAGCTATCTGTCAGATGAAAAGTGGTCATCACAGATTAACTCTGAACTAAGCTTTTTAAACTGACTTGGCTGACATGTTTTAAGCAAAATTAACATGTTACATTGCTGCCTACATTGCTGGCGCCCCATATTGGAGAATCAGTTTGAATCCACCACTTTGCTTCTGACCCAGTTCGCTACTTATGAGTGTGGGAAAGCAGTGAAAGATGGTCCAAGCACTTGAGCTTCTGCCACCCACACAAGGGATCTGGTGGAGTTCCTGGCTTCGGCCTGGCTCAACCTTGCTGGCTGCGTCATTTAGGGCGTGAGCAACAGATGAAAATCACTTTTTCTCTGTCCCCCTGCCCTTCAAATAATTTTTTAATTAGCATACTTTACACCATTAAACGATTTTAGAAAGGTCCAAGTTATTGTTAAAGAAAATTAGATTTTGGTTAATAAAAAGCACTTGTCTGTTTTATTAATACTCAAATAACTATCTAAGAACAGCAAATCTACCCCAAACACATAATTAAAGTTAATTCACTAAATCCTCAAATGGTTTTACAAAACTCTTCTCTCCAATTAACTGAGAGATAAAAAATAAGCAAATAAAATCAGTGTTAAGACTTCAGTGTGTATCGCTTCTCGGCCTTTTGGCTAAGATCAAGTGAAGATTTCAATATGTGACATGAATATGTAAGGTTCTAACCAATACCAAGAAATCATGCTTGGTAACATGAAAATAATTTAAGTTGGGCCTTCCATAGTCCTATGTCTAGCCAAAGAGAACAACAGCAAATTTGCCCTGAGGTCATTAGCCAGAGCTTAAAGGGGCAGACACCTTATGGTGGACACGCGCCCTTCTTCCAGTGTGCTGAACTCAAGGGTGTGGGCCTTTACTACACACAACCCCTGTTGACACTGCTGCTTGATCAGCTAGTAAAATTAGCATCTCGCATTCAAATGAAAGCAAGCTCAACGGGGTCTTGTAGAACTGTCTGTATTATGCCTGTATTGCAAACAGAAATGATAAAGAGGGGAAAATACAAGGTAAGATGTAGGTTCTTTGAGGGGGATGTTTGCATTCCATACCTGAAAGGATTAAATGCATTCATTCTTTTATCTGCCCCTTCTGCTCAGGATGTGTTTGGCTGCCCAAGACAGGCTTCTTAGTCTGCCTGTACCTGCAAAATCAATTTTCTAGCAATAAGGCATTTTGCTTGGTAAATTCCTAAGAGCCCTTTGACAATGGTTCATTGAGCCCAGAACACTAAGAGAGGCTCTAAACACCCACTGTGACACCACTCAACATCCACTGGACACGATGAAAATTCCTTCTGAAAATGTCTTCACTTGACTTGGTTTTTCTCCTCTCTGGCCATCCGCTCTTCCTCTTTTGCTCTTTTTCTCTGCTCACTCCAATTGGACCTTAAGCCTATTAATCTTCTCTAATTCACTACCTAGACAAGGCTGTCTAGACACGACTGCGAATATCTACAGGCTAACAAATGGCAAACTTCTACTTCTAGCCCTGGAACTCTATGTATAATATCCAACTACCCACTAACACTGTTGTAACCGTCACCTCCCCCAAACTCATCTCCCTAAACTCTGCTGCACTTCCAGACTTGATCCACTCACAGTCTTCTTCATCTGGGTTAAAAGGCAACTTAATTTTTCCAACTGCTTCAGTCAACAACCTTGAAGGAATCTAGGGTTCTTTCTTTTATGTCACAAACCACATGTCATCTGCTAGCAAACCTGGTTGGCTCTACTTTCAATAAATACCCCAAAATGATCACTTCTCATCACCCTCACTGCCACCTTCTGGTAGCCAACATCCAATTAGACAGTGTTGCCCCCTTCAACAGGCTCCCCACTCCTGCTCGATTCCCCACAGCCATTCTCAACTATACAGAGTGTTGTACTCCAAGTCCAGACTGTGCGCTCTATACTTTGCAGAAGTTCTTACAATGACATGTAAGGCCGGCGGGATCTACCTCAGGGAACCCTCTGACCACCTTGCTTCCAGTTCTGCCGGCACCTTCTCCAGATTAGCCACAGTGGTCCCTTTAGTGTATTTCTTAAGTAACCAGACACACTCCTGCCTCAGGGGCTCCGCACTTGCTGTCCCTCTAACTAGAATTCTACTTTTCCAGAGAGTACACGGCTAGCTCCCTCACTTCTTATAGATCTTTAGTCAACTCTCACCATCCCTGGGCCTATTTGAAATTGCAACAGCTCATCCTCCCTGCTACACACACACATATATCTGCCAATAATCTGTCAGATCTCCTTCCCCTTATAAATTTTTTTCTCCCAGAGATTTTATTTATTTGAAAGACAGAGTTATACAGAGAGAGATGGAGACAGAGGAAGAAGGAGACGGAGAGAAAGAGATAGAGAGAGACCTTCCATCTGTTGCTTCAATCCACAAATGGCTCCAATGGTCAAGGCTGGGCCAGGCCAAAGCCAGATGTGTCTTCCAGGTCTCCCATGTGGGTGCAGGAGCCCAAAGACTACGGCCATTCTCCATGCTTTCCCAGGCACATTAGCAAGGAGCTGGACAGGAAGTGGCATGGCTGTGACTTGAACTGGCATCTCTACAGGATGGCAGCATTGCAGGTGATGGATGGCCTTTTTCATGTTACTTACCACTGACATGTTAAATGATGTAGATTATTACTACTTGTCTCCCCAGCTGAAAGGAAGTCCCAGAGGACAGGAAATTTGTTCTCCATTGTTACCTCAGCATCTCACAGGGCCAAAAGAGATCCTTGGCAGTTACTGACTAATCAATCAAACGCATTAATAAATGATTCTGTCATGTATTCATTTAATTCACAGAAGCCCCAAAGAAGCATGTATTATTTTCTCTATTTTTTTTTTTAACGTTAGATAAAAGCTGAAACTTTCCCTGAAAAATGGAAGCTCTGGAATTTAGACCTCAGGTGTAACAGGGCCTTATTGCTTTTATGTATCTTATTTTCTAGATTATACTACGTGGGTGCATGCATAATTAATGTGTTTCTATCTTCCCAAGTGAACAGGTTCTGGATGGAGACAGTTCAGCCAACTAGTTCACAGTGTATGCTGTGGGCTACGCAGAACAGAGATGGGATATTCTTTTCTACCACTTGCTAAATGGGTATCTCTGAATGAACCACCTGTCCTTTCTATGTTGTCTCCTCATCTGTACAATGGGGTGAAGCTGCAGCCAAGTTCTTTGATGAGTGGTGACACTGAATGAAGTAACAGAGGATTTTGCCTTCCTGGGACATCAGTAACGTTCTTTCGACCCTCACAACTTGAATTCAAAACTTCCTAGAGAATAACAATGCAACTGTTGGGAAGGCTTTGAAAAAAAAAAGACATATTCAGGCACACATTTGTTAAGAAATAGTAACTACCAGTTTACAGAGCATACGGAAGGTGCTTGGGAACGTTAACAAATGATCTCACGTAACCTCACAACAATTCCCTGAAAAGCACACATCGCTTCCACAGGACCCAGAGTTAGGTAAACTGCCCAAAGTCACAGTCTGCCAGTATGTGGTGCTATGGATTTAGACTCCAAAGGCCAAAGCTTCAACAAACTGCAGGCTTCTTTTATAAAAAGAGGCTGGGAAATCACTATATTGTCTTATCAACGTTTGAACACCTGTACAAACCAGGCACTGTGCTGCTCCAATTGCGTGCCTCACTTTCATAGTCTATATGAGCTTTTATGCTCATTTTTCAGACAGGGAAACCGAAGCTCCAACTAAGCTTCTCAAGGTCAGCCAGGTGAACGAGGCGACCGAGCAGGACTCGCACCCAGCCTCGGGGGACCTCGGAGCCCGTGCTCCGGGCCGCACTGCACCCTGACCAAGGTCCTAAGGGCTCGCGGTCTGCGCCTGGACTAGGGACCGCCCCTGGGATGTTGCTGCGGGAGAGGGGTCGCCCCGAACCTGGTCCCCCTCAGCCAGTCGGGCTCCAGCCCTCGCCATTCCCGCCCCGAAGGCCCCCGACTCACGATGAGCCCTCGGCGTTTGGGGTTGTTGTACTGAAGCAAGTATTCGCGTTTAAGCCGGGCTCTTATGGCCAGCCGCTCCGCTTGCGCCTGCCGGGCTTCCGGAGATATGTCGTATTCCGCCGGGTTGAGTGTAGACGGCAGAGTGGCCAGGCCCGACGGCTTATATTTGGGGAAAGCCATCTTGGCGACTGGCGCGCAACTGCGCCTGCGCAGCTTTGGGCGCCCGCCCGCTTCACTCTGACCTTCAGTCCAAGAAGTGCGCCTGCGTGTTAGCGGACGGTCAAGCCTGGCGTTTACTCCTCCTTTCTCCCCGCCCACCTTCCAGGATTTGCTCGTGCGCAATGTGCTTTCCTCAGCAGCTGAGCAGTCTTTGCCGCTGCTTTCCAGCTGCGTTATCTCTTCCCAGGTGAGGTTGAGCAGTGATTGTGGGGACCAGGGTGGGAGCCAAGCCGCGCGACCCTGGGCAAGTCACAGTCATTCTGTCGGGCTAGCCAATATATTGTAAGAATCAAATAAGCAAATGAATAAATGCCAAAATGCTTGGCAAAGCACGATTCCCTATCCAAAAAGTAGGTTACCATATCAGGTCCATATAACTTAAGTAAACAAACAAACAATAAAAGCCTTATTTTTTATAGGCATGAGCTAATGTTACAAGAATAGGGTTTCCTGACAGTAGTTGGTGCGGGAGGGGAGAGAGAGAGGCAAGAAATGAAGCAACAATGCCTGAGTTAAGATGCTAAAGCTTTGGGCCCCGCGGCGTGGCCTAGTGGCTAAAGTCCTCGCCTTCAACGCGCCAGGATCCAGCTCCCTGCTTGTGGCCTGGGAAAGCAGTCGAGGACGGCCCAAGCCTTGGGACCCTGCACCCCCTGCACCCATGTGGGAGACCTGGAAGAAGTTCCTGGATCCTGGCTTCGGATCGGCATAGCATCGGCCGTTGCACTCACTTGGGGAGTGAATCATCGGATGAAGATCTTCCTCTCTGTCTCTCCTCCTCTCTGTATACCTGACTTTCCAATAAATAAATAAATCTTTAAAAAAAAAAAACAGATTCTAAAGCGTCTTCCCTAAAATCCTTGGTGTATAGGTGCTAAACATGAAAAACGGGCAGATGTGTGACAAAGCTGTTAAGTCACTACCTGGGACATCTGCATCCCGTGTCAGAGTGCGTGGGTTTGAGTCCCGCCTCCTCTGCTTCCTACCCGGCTTCGATAACCATACCGTGCACCCTGGGAAGCAGCAAATGATAGCTCAAGTACTTGGATCCCTGCCACCCGTGGGAATTCTGGGCTCCTGGCGTCTGCCTGGCCTGGGGCCCAGCTGTTTCGGGCATCTGGGGAATGAGGCAGAAGATGAAAGATCTCTCTCCCTCCTCCCTTCTTTCAAATAAAATGAAACTAAATGCATTTTTTTAAAAAAAGAATGAAAAAGCCTCACAGATATGAAAATACAGAGTCACTATATCCTACTGTATAAGACATCTGAATGGGGGGTGTGGTGCCAGCAGGCTAATCCTCTGCCTGAAAGTGCTAGTATCCCATATGGACACTGGTTCATGTCCTGATTGCACCACTTTCCCATCCAGCTCCCTGCTTAAATGCCCTGAGTGCTTGGGACCCTGCACACACATGGGAGAGTCAGGAGAAGCTTCTGGCTCCTGGCTTCAGATCAGCTCAGCTCTGGCTCTTACAGCCATCTGGGGAGAGAACCAGAAGATGGGAGATCTTTCTGTGTCTTCTTCTCCCTGTAAATCTGTCTTTTCAATAAAAATAATAGTATACTTTTTTTTTAAAAGGCAAATTTGGGAGAAAAACCTTCCTTACACCCACAGTCCTTCCTTCTTTCTCCCACTTCAAATTACACTGCTGTGGGTATTAATCCGCTATTCTTCGGTAGAAAAAAAAAATATATATATATATAAGCAGTATTTCTACAACACAGGCAAGGAAAGCTGGAACAAAGAACTTGAGCTTGGCGGAACCATCTGGGACGTGTAGGTACGTGGGGAGGTGGTTGCTAGGCAGAGAAGGGACTGGAAATGATGAGGAGCAGCAGTGCTGTCAGATTGATTCAATATTTTAATGCTGTTTTAAAATATTTATTAAGCACCCACCGGGTGAAGCATACTGCACGCTAGTCAGTCGATCTCTAAGCACAGCAGGAGAGTCCGAGAAGAAACAGAGGATGAGGTGTTCTTTGTTTCAGGAGCTAACGATCCGTCAGCGCAGAAAGAACAGACAGGCAGCGATGGTGTTTGAGGGCAAAGTAGTTCAACGTCCAGACGAAGCCATATCAAAATGGACTTGAGAGAATGCATAAAACAGAAATTTGACATCAATCACTGGAGCTCCATTTTCAAGACACATAAAGAATAGACATTCTGAATTTATGCAAAGGTGCTTTTGAAATATGAAGAAAACGCAGCCATGTGAGAAGCAGGAGCTGAGAATGAGATTCTAAAGACTCCACAAAGTTGCAAAAACCTTCTGGTTACAGGTCAGAAACTGATCTAGAAGGGCATGGAAAAAGAATAAAAGAAAAATGCTTCTTCTAAGGGAAATCTTTGAGAAAATGAAAATGTTTATTCTTACACATGTCTGATTATCATGGGATTGCCTAAGAAGATTGTTAAATTTAGCAAGGTTTAAAACTCCCAGCTTCTTTCTGCTCTACTCCTGGACCTTCAGAATTGACATGGCAGGGGAAACTAGGAGCTTCTTCAAGTACTGCATGTTTGCTTTCTCTCTTCTCTCTGAAACACTGTCTTTCAGACAAACAAATCTTTATAAACACTACTGTATACTTGGGAAATAGAGATGAGCAATCAAGCCATCTCTTTTTCTCTGCTCTCAACACAATGGCTCAACTGACTAATCCTCTACCCACAAGTGCCAGCATCCTGTCCTGGCTTCTTCACTTTCCATCCAGCTTGCTGCTTGTGGCCTAGGAAAAACAGTAGAGGACGTCCCAAAGCCTTGGGACCCCTCATCCCCAAGGCAGACCCAGAAGAAGCTCCTGGCTCCTGGCTTTGGATTGGCTCAGCTCTGGCTGTTGTGGTCGTTTAGCAAGTGAGCCAGCAGATGGAAGATCTTTCTCTCCTCACTGTAAAATCTGCCTTTCTAATAAAGATAAATAAATACAAAAAATAAAAAGATCCTTTTAGTAATGAATCTATTTAAGATGGTTATCTGGATTACATAATAAAAGTAAATGACTTAATTGAGACTTTATCCTCAACCAAATTTATGAAAACAAGTTTGTCTTCCACTCAAGGTTACAACTGAAATTAAGGGCTAATTCTGAAACATCTAGTGTTAATTTGGAAGAACAATTGTTACATGGCTCTTTTTCTATCACTTTGATTCTTCAGCAGGATAGTATTTGCAAAAGTATTGGAGGGTTTTATGCATTTTTCCCAAGGCCTGCTGTCAGTCCTTTGGACTGGGACTATTTCCTCCTGCTGCACCCACACCTACGCCATGATTCTCTTGTTTGCATCTGTTGCCCAGGCGACTGTCTGAGAGCCTCCTTTGTTAGTGATGGCAGGTGGACCCAGCAATTCAACGGCATCATTTACATCAGTTTTGTGAATTTTACATCTTTGGCAAAATGTACAGTTTTATCTTGTAAAGTTGAACATTTCTAAATGATCAACCAAGACTTTGAAAGGAGGTGAGCATAGGCACTACAATTTAAGTGGGAAGCAATTTCACAAGCTGTCGTTTTACCAGCAAATATGTCATGAGTTGAAAATTTTTACTAGTACTTCTCTGAGAAATCACTTAATAGAATTTTTCAAGGTTTTTTTTTTTTAAGGATATGGATTTCAGAGACTAAATATGTGTGCCCTTGTGTTTGAAAGAGGGGAGAGATGTGGTTAAGTGGAAAAGGAGTTCAGTGTAAATGGGTAGTGAAACTATGTGAATGGAACAGCATGTTAGGGAACAGAAGTTGGATAGGTGGACACAGAAACTGCAAGAAGGGTGAGTCAGGACAAGCCTGAATTATCTTTCTTTTTTTCTCTGCAACAATGTTATAAAGTCATTGTCATCTGAGGAGGTAAACCAAGTATACACAAAATATCAAGGCAAATGTATGTAGATTAAGATATTAATGTGAACATTGCATTATCTTTCTGGATTATTGATGTTAATATATTTTATTTATAATCCATTGTGATTTTTCTCAACTCAGACCTATTTGTATTTAAAATTTTGTGTATTTTTTTCCTCAAAGAAGTGCAGACCCATCCCCACCCTCCCAATTGTGTCAGTTTTTGTTCCATCCAACTTGGATCCTCCTTTAGTCAGTCTTGCTACAGCTGCAAGGAAGAAACACAGGGGACTAAGTTAACTGGCGAGCAGATCCAGCAGCAGGGAAAGCAAGGAGAGTTAGCTCTTCCAGAGCTGAAATGAACAGCAGTCCTAACAGAGAATAGGAATGACATTAGTGGTGTTCCCAACTAAGCTCAGGTAACTTCCCCTTTGCTTTCTTCACACTGACCCTTCCTCACAAAGGGGATATTATTGGATCAGTCTGACACTGATCAATCTAGGTTGCCTCCAAGTAACACACAGGAGATTGCCTATCATACCCAACTACTCTGTTGACGGTTCCAATGAGTAATTAGATCTTACAGCTGGGGGGTGGGGAGAGCCGATCCGATGGCTCAATGGCTAAATCCTCTGCTTGCAAACACTGACATCACTTGGGCTTGGTTCATGTCCTGCTTATGGCCTGGGAAAGCAGTAGAGGATGTCCCAAAGCCTTGAGATCCTACACCTGGCTCGTGCCTTTGGATCAGTTCAGTGTGGTCACTGGTGGAGTAAACCAACAAATGGAAAAATCTTTTCATCTATCCTAAATCTGATCTGGCTTTCCAAGAAAAAAAAATCAATCTTTAAAAAAGAAAATGATCATATAACATTTTTTTTTATTTTCTTTTTTAAGAGTTATTTTATTTTTATTGTAAAGTCACATATACACAGAGAAGGAGAGACAGAAAGATCTTTGTCCGATGATTCACTCCCCAAGCAGCCGCAGCAGTCAGAGCTGAGCCGATCTGAAACCAGGAGCCCAGAACCTCCTCAGGGTCTCCCATAAGGGTACAGGGTCCCAAGGCTTTGGGCCGTCCTTGACTGCTTTCCCAGGCCACAAGCAAGGAGCTGGATGAGAAGCAGGGCTGCCGGGATTAGAACCAGCGGTCATATGGGATCCTGGTGCGTGCAACTTTTTTTAAAAAAGCTTCTTTTTTTTTTTTA